TTATTTTTAAATTCAAAAGTTTTAAAAGGTATAGACCTCTTCCTCCTGCCCTCCCTCCATCTATCACTTACATATTGACACTGAAGCAAACCAGGCAGCGACACCGTTTGCTAGTATCAGACGGTAACTGGTAGACACTGCCAGGGAGAGCTGACTCAACTTGTGCTTTGCAGGTTTCCTTCCAATCTCTGTGCAACTACCAAGGTGTCATTTACTGTAACTAGGATATAGCTTACTGACCCAAGAATTTGTTTACGTATCTATAATCAAACCAGTAAGGTTAATATGGTATATATCCAATATATAGAAGACACAGCTATAGCATTATAAGAACCTTTGAATTTGACAGCAGGAGAAGTTTCAGGTTCATTTTTTTCCCTTTCACAGCCTATGCACACATTCACAAAGCCTAGCCTGCAGCATTTTTCTTCTTTATATTTTGGATCTTTTTCAATCCATAGGAATATATCTGAAAGTGCTCAAGGGTCAATGACATCATTCTGTGTCTGTATGCTTTGTACTGATTTTTCTATTCCCACTGGAAGTGGATTATTTAACATTATCATAGACATACCTTTATACAAAGATAAAGGTTACTCTTCCCAAATTCCAAACACACTCTCTTCTATGCATGGCTTAAAACAAATAAACCAGAAGATAACATTATGTCTTTATAATTTTTGTTTTGCATTTCAATCATTTAGCAAACAAGAATTAAGGGCCTGATTCCACAAATAAAAATCTACACCTGTGAAAGAGTCTGCCTACATGACTAGTTGTCTTAAAAATGCCACCCCTGACCCCATGCCCAATCTGTCAAAGAAATTCTAAAACGTACTCCAATGTATTTAGGCGGAAAAGATTAAAAGGTCTTAAACCCCACTGCCCTTCTTAAAAGAAGTCTAGAAAGCCTGGAACTGATCTCACCCTTATTTTAGTTTTCTAAGTTGTATACATTGAAAATTCCTTTTCATCATGCGCTTTTACAATACAGTTCACCTGGCTATTTTAGGTGATGACTTTAGAATGAGATTAATGATGTCTTAAAAGTGTCATTGTTAGACACAAACAGATTGCTGGGAGATTATCCCAGGAGGCAGACATCATACAAGCATCCCCTACAGTGTTTGAGTGGTCTTAAGTATACTTACTCAGGATGAATTCTGCATGTCACCTTGTTCATTACAATCTCATGTAGAGGTAAACAAAAATTTCCAAGATCTGAACATACTAATGAAAATTCAGATATGAGCTTGAATTTCTTCCATTTCCATTCAATATCACAACCCACAGACTAAAGATTATTAAAGAATTTTTTTCTTATTTTTCCCATCGTGCCATTAGGATCATCTCAAAGTAGACTGTACTATACCGTGAGCTTTGGCCCACTGTAGGTTCCGTGCCAGAGACTCTGCAGAAGATGCGGTTTGTTGAATGGGATCAGTTAATGCCCTTTTCTCAGACAAACTGCTGCGGATCTCCAAAGCTTGCTTGCCTTTGGTAAGGTGACACTTGCCCATATCTAAAAATAAGATGCATATAGTTTCTCTCAAAATCAACGCTGCTGAAATTCTAACTAAATTAAGCACATCACTGTAACCTTGCCTGGTTGCTATGGTTATGCCAGTGTCAGCACTTCCATAAAAACTTTTAGTTTCAGAAGTATTCATTGCTCAACTATTCATTCACTTAAGGCTAAAACAGCATGCCAGATGCCTACAAAGAATCCTGAGGGTTTTGCACGTGTCCTCGTCAACATGCTCACGTTTTTCAAAACCAATTCAGGCAATATCACAGCTCTGATTCAGTAAGGTCCTAATTAAAGTGACTAATTTCAAGAATGTGATCGATAAAGGGGCCAGTACTGTTTATTTAATATCAGCACTAATGATCTGGATGGCAGGACAGAATGCACCCTCAGCAAGTTTGCAGATGATTAAAAACTGAGAGGAGTGGCTGATACATCAGGGTTGTGCTGCTGTTCAGAGGGACCTGTACAGGCTGTAGAATTGGGCAGAGAGGAATCTCATGAAGTTCAACAATGGGAAACACCGAGTCCTGCACCTGGGCAGGAATAGCCCCATGCACCAGGACAGAAAGGGGACTGACTCGCTGGAAAGCGGCTCTGCAGAGAAGGACCTTGGGGACCTGGTGGACACCAAGCTGACCATGAGCCAGCAATGCATTCTTGTGGCAAAGGCAGCCAACAAGAACAGCATTGCCAGCAGGCCAAGGGAGGTGATCCTTCCTCTCTGGTCAGCACTGGTGAGGTCAGATCTGGAGTGCTGGGTCCAGTGCTGGGCTCACCAGTACGAAAATGACATGTACATACTGGAGAGAGTGCAGTGAAAGGTCACAGAGATGAGGGGCCTGGAACACCTCTCATATGAGAAAAGCTTGAGGGAACTGGAGCATCTTCCGTATGAGGAGATGCTGAGAGAGCTGAAACTGTTTAGACTGGAGAGAATGCGGCTCAGGGGACTTCTTATCAATGTGCATAAACACTTGATGAGGGAAAGTAAAATAGACAGAGCCAGACTCTTCTCAGTCAAGACCAGTGACAGTAGAAGAGGAAGCAGATGCAAACTGAAATGGAGAAAATTCCACTTAACCATAAGAAACAACTTTTTACTCTAAGGGTGATCAAACACTGGCAGAGGTTGTGCAGGGAGGCTGTGGAGTTGCCATCCTTGGAGACACTCAAAACCCACATGGACAAGGTCCTGAGCAACTGGCTCTAGTTTACTCTGCTTTGGGCAACAGGGTTGGACTGACAATCTCCAGAGGTCCTTTCCAACTTTAACCAGACTGCGATTCAAACTTACTCCAATTTATTAGGGTCTCCCCACATTTAATTCAATTACATTTAAAGGTGACATTTTCAGATAGTTTTGCTGCATGCAGAAAGTCAAAACCTATGGCCTGCCAAGTGAATTAAAAAAATCCTGGAAAATTTCTATTTACAAGTTCTTAAAAAAATGAAATAATGAAGGCTATTTACATGGAATACTTTTAACATGAACACCCCTTTGGAACATTTTCAAGTGTCATCAGTGCACCAATGTACTCACTAACACCCAATATCTGGTAATACTGACAACAATGGTTGTCATGTTGCCTGACAAATCAATCAATCTCCACTCTGAGTTCAAGAATGAGATAAGTAACAGGTCACACGTCAGAACCTCTACAGCATGTGACATTAACCTGGCAGTACAGACGAAGCAGTAAGAGTCCGTCGTATTTTACAGGACATTTGGGGATTTGGCAGAACTGTGATATGTTCTGATGGGAAAGCCACGAAGATGGGGGGAAGAGGAGACGCAAATCTCAGAGAACACTAACCCACTTAAGAACACCCAAAAGCAATGACAAAAAGGATGAGGGGAGGAAGAGGCTAAGAATATTTTTTGGATTTGTTCATTATAAAGTTTGTAAACTTCTTATGCAAGTTGAAAGACTGATTGGTCTGTGACCATGGCAGAATACAAGCGGGTGTCTGTTCTTCTACTACTCCTGCTTTGAACAGGCTGGCAATGGGACAACACGGCATAAAAACTAAAGATGTAGTATACACATATACTACAGACACAGTATTGATGCTAGGATGAGTGGATTTCAGGGTTCTCTTTTCACAGAACAGTAACAGTCAGAATGTCCCAGAAGGCAAGAAAGCTGAAGGAAAGGAAAGATATTGGGGCCTGCTTCAAAACAGAGTTTCAGGAATGATGGCTAAATGAATTTGGGCCTAAATACGGCAGCTGGTGAGCATCCAGCAGGAGGAGCTTTATCAGAGCTTCTGCCAGGCTTTCAGGAAACACAGCTGCAGCTACCTGCAAATGAGGGGACAGCAAGTACTCAAATTCTTCCTTTGTATTTAGGTAATGGCAAAATTGAGTACTACTGTAAGCAAATAAAAAGTACAAATCTTAATGCAAAAAGCATTCTGCTTGACTGCACCTGGCAAAAGAAGAAAAACACATCACCCTGTGCAACCAAAAAAAAAAAAAAAATCAACTTCAGCCCTAGGCTTTGGAATAATCATTTTAGCTTTACCATCTACAGATCCTATTTCTTCAGAACAATTCTGAGATCTTCTGAAATTTTATTTAACGTTTCACAGAACCTTCATGGGAAGTTTAACAGATAAGACTGAAAATACAGAATGGTAAGTTGGTTTGATGGGATCTAGCTAAGCAGCATACCAACTATAAGCAAAAAGAAAGGGAATATGTACCAGACAAACAAGCAAATGGTAAGCAAGAACCATCACATTTCAATGGGTATCCTGGGGTTATGCTGGATTCCTATTGCCATCAATTTGACATAAATTCCATGCTTATATTTCAGCTAGTCAATCAATGATCTCTTCCCTTTCCTCAGTAGAGCACTGACAGAAGCTCTGTCGGTCTAATCTTTGCATTTCATTTCAACAGTTTGACCTGTTGACAGCAGAACTTTACTGTCCATTTAGGATCCTCTTGGATTTTTTTCTGCTTTTTGGATCCCTGTCAAAAGACAGACTGGGCAAAATTCTGAGAGCTGCAGTTGCACCAGCTACACTGGAAACCACAGCAGGGCTTGGCTGATTACATACATTACCTACAAATAACAGAACCTTATACAGACAGCTCTTTGTAATGGCCATATCTATTCTTCTATGTTTTGAGCAAATGTTTGCACAGAAGCAATACATTTTCCCTCAGCAGTTTTCACTTTAGCACTTCTCCCATCAATTATAAAAGACAATTACTGAACCAGGCATATTAAAACATTGGATTGCCCTTTATAGTGCACTTATACCCTTTCATAGAGAGCAAATAATTATCACCACTATAGCATTCTTTGAGGTAGGTAGGACTCAGTTAATCGTTTAAATGAACGTGGAAATGACTGGACTACCACTAGCAGCTGACACCACAAGACAGAACAGTAATTTCTGTGGATGGACAAGTCAAAGCTCCAATCAGAAAGACACTCAGAACAAATAACGTTCACTAAAAAGGAGAGTATAAAATTGGTCACTATTAAGGAAGCTCAAATCCCTTTATAATATCATGATCTTTGTTAACGTGCTATCCTGCTTCTTGATAAAAGCTACTATTTTAATAAAGCGCAACACGAAGGAGGTTAAAGTAGTGTAACACATTCACCATGAGAAGAATGACATTCAAGCAAAGAAGTTCTCAGTAATGCAGGCTGAGAAGACTGTTAGTGCAGTAAGCTGGAGTTCACCTTCTGCAACCTCATCAAGCAGTACAGTAATCTTCTTGTCTTCTAACAAACGGTCCTTCAAGAACTTCATGAAGATTCCATTGGCCAAGCCTGACTGCTGAATTTCAAAAGCTTCTGCTCCTTGGCACCTATGAGATCACCAATATCAGACAAGGAAAAAACACTGAAACATCTGCATGATTAAGATAACATGAGGACAAAAGGAGTAAAGTTATGTTGGGAACGGGGGAAAGAAACCCTACAATTTGAAAACCAGGCTGTGTCTACGGCCAGCCTGCTCTTCATGTTCATTTGCAAGCAACTCATTCTGGGAAGATTTCACTTACAATCAAGCCACAGACCAGAGCTGATATCAAACTGTTTATATGAGGAGCTTAAACTTCTCATAGAAGACTTCATTAAAGCTCTTGACTACTTCTGTTCAACAGCTTTTGCACTTGACTTGAAAACTGACAGAGAGAGATTATTTAGGTTTCTGCTTAAGTAACCTCTTTAAATAGTTTCAATTGCAGTTGTAACTTTATTCTTTACACCTAGAAAAAGAAATACAGGGGCCAATCTATATGCTACTCCTCCAATTATTAATTCATTTATATTTCTAACACTTTTTCCCTAGAAATTTAACTTGCATTAACAGAGGAGACACATGACTGAAGAGGGTACAGCACATACGTTATAGTTCATAAACTGCTCCACAGTACTTGACCTTCTGTACAAGCTCACAGTGCAGTAACTACCATGAGGAACACACAGGACATAACTCCCCCTTCCCCATCAGCACAAAGAAACAGAACATTATGGGTCCGAGGGTAAAATTTGCTTTTTTCTTCTCTGTGTTTTTTTCATCTCTAATAAATAATACTTGGATGAGTAGAGCTCTCCTACAAGTAACCATTAGAAAAAGATCAGGAACACTGTCCAGCAGTTTCTGGTTTGCTGAATGCAGTTTTCTCACTGGTGTTACCCTATATCTGAATGGGAATGTTAAATACTAGGAATCACTACATACGCATTTCCACAGTCAGTTAGACTGTGGAATGATTCAAAGAATGAAGTAAAAAAGATAGTATGAGGACACAGATACGGATATAAATTACTGGTCCTTTAACACCACAGTTAGTATTTTTCCATAAAAGATTAGCTATACAATCTCAGCGCTCACTTCTGGCTTCAAAACCTTTATGGCACAGCAGAAGAAAAATTTCCTTACGTTGCATATCCAAAAACAATGTTGGCCGTAACCTTCAGAGCATCTAGGATAAGAATTGTGTCATCATATTCATTTCTGCAATAAAGGGAAACACAAAACAGTAAAACAATAATTTGAGAACTAATAATGATAACAAACAGTTGTTTGAAATATCAAAAGAGCACAGTTCAGAAACAGTAATTTTTTTCTCTCCTACAATTCTGGAATGAACCCCAGCTGCTAAAAGACAAAAACCAGCATCATCAACAGTCTTCACGAAGACAACATAAAGACACAGTCAGATATCACACATTACCCAGATGAGGGCATGCGATATTAACCAATATAGTTTGGCTACAATCTCTTAAAAAATTATTTCTGATAACTGGCCATTTTAGGTTATAACAAAAACGATATGAATTTCTCCCCACGCC